TTGTTACTAGTTGCAATGCCAGGGCTCTTCAGAACCTATTTGTATTGAAATGGTACCACATTGACATCACCACATCAATGGTAGGCAAGGACACCAATTGAAAGGGCCAGCTGTGGAACAGTGGTCTTGAATACCTTCGGAAGAGAAAGGGACAGCCATCCCTAGAGACCTGCCTGACATGTGCTCTAGAGCCAGCAGAGGGGGTGGGGAAATCTCCCTGAGTGCAAGTGATGAAGTGTGCACAGGGTAAAGGGTGACTGCTACCACCGTGTCAGACTTGAATGCTCTAGACGGGAGGCAACGCGGCAGCCAGAATGCTGACATGAGACAGCTACGGCTTGAGTCCAAGGGTTAACTATGGACAGTTAGTGGCCCAGAGCTCTCAACTTGCCTTGTGTCTGACATGTGAGTCACACAAAATCAACATGTCATTTTGGTCAGTAAGAGTAATCAACTCATCAAATTGCCTTCCTGGAACGAGGGCTGGCCATAGAATCCTGGAACTACCCCGTAGGCATGAGTCTCTGGTCTCTGGTGGACCTCAAGCAAGGGGAAAAACAGAAACTAGGCCCACTGCCAGCCCACTGGCCAGTCTCAGACTTTGGATGGCAAATTACAAAACTGTAAGGTAGAAGCTTCTGCCAACTGGATACCATACAGGATCAGTTCCAAGTTGGGGCACCCTGCCCAGATGGCACTGCTGACCCCAGCTGGTCTTAGTATCGGGGGAGACTTAGAAACGAGATTTAGGGCCGGGCGCGGTGGCTCAAGCCTGTAATCCCAGCACTTTGGGAGGCCGAGACGGGTGGATCACGAGGTCAGGAGATCAAGACCATCCTGGCTAACCCGGTGAAACCCCGTCTCTACTAAAAAATACAAAAAACTAGCCGGGCGAGGTGGCGGGCGCCTATAGTCCCAGCTACTCAGGAGGCTGAGGCAGGAGAATGGCGTGAACCCGGGAGGCGGAGCTTGCAGTGAGCTGAGATCCGGCCACTGCACTCCAGCCTGGGCGACAGAGCGAGACTCCGCCTCAAAAAAAAAAAAAAAAAAGAAACGAGATTTAGAAATTAGGAATTCACTCTAAAGAAGGGGTAGGTGAGTGTGTGTGTGTGTTTGTGTGTGTGTGTATATATAGGGACAGATAGTAAAGATTTTAGGCTTTCAGGCTCTATGGTCTTTTTTTGAAGCTACTCAATTCTGTGTAGAGAGAGAGCAGCCACAGACCTTATGGAAATGAATGGACATGGCTGAATTCTAATAAGCTTTATTTATCCAGGCAGCAAACTGGATTTGGCCCACTGGCTGAAATTTGCCAAACTTTGCTATAAATCATGCAGCAAAGGGTCCAGCCTTTCCTTGCCTAGTAATGGTGGAATTACAGGATAGGATGACAAGTGCATTTATAATTTTGTTATATATGGCCAGATTCCCCACTGCAGAGCTTTTATCCTGTTCTACCACCAGCAATTTTGTCTCCCTACAGCCTTGCCAAGGGAATGTTTTATCCAGTTTTGAATTTTGCCAATCTGATAGGTAAGTAGTATCTCAGCGTGATTTTAATTAGCATTTTTTTGAGTGGTATTAAAGATTTTTTTTTCTGTGAACCATCTCTCCTCTGGTTATTTTACTATTGGGTTGTTGGTATTTTTTCCCTTGATTTATAAAAGTTCTTTGTTTGCTAAGGAGATTAACCTTCAACCTGTATTCTGCATTTGTTGGATAAAGTGTTCTATAGATGTCAATTAGATCAAGGTGGATGACAGTGTTCAAATGCTTGAGATACCTAGTAGTCGTTCAAGTAGGGTTGTCTGGCAGGTATTTGGAAATACAGATTTAAAACTCAATTGAGAGGCTGGGACTAGATAATTTTGGAATAATCAGTACAGATGATATTTATAACAATAAGATGGGTAAGATCACATAGGAAAAGAAAGTAGATAGAGAAGAGATGATAAAACTGAGTCCTAGAGCATTCCAACATTTAGAGACTGAGAACAAGAGAAGCAACCAGCAAAACAAACTGAGACGGGGCTTTTAGTAAGGTAAGGAAAGAAAGCGAAGGGCAGACTTTTGGAAGCAAAGTAAAGAAAATATTTCAAGAAGGAAGGAGATTCTGTTAAATGACTTTACAGATTAAATAAGGTAAGAATTCTTATTAGAAATTGATCATTGGATTTGGCAATGTGGAGGCTATTGGTGACTTTAACAGTGAAGACATGTTTTTGGTAAGGAATTTTAAGAGGAAAAGAGTAATTTTGTATGAGAAAGAATCTTGAGTGGCATATTTTTGTCCTAACATCAAATGACTGGTTATTTAAGAAAGAGGAAGTAGAGGACAAAGCAAAAAAGCTAAGCGTATCGAGTGTCTGAGTAAATCATGATAAGGTTTGTGAAGAATGAATTTATAAAAGGAATTTTTGTGTAATCATGTTGGTTACAACTAGAAGGGAATTATTTGTAAGTTTTTCTAAGGATTGAGCTTTGATATTAAAAATACACTCACACAAAATTAAATTTTTGGTCGTCTATGCTAGAATAGCAAGGTTTTCTCGAATTATTGATCTGCTCTTAGCAAAAATTACAAGAGATTTTTATTTTTAATTCTAAAATCTGTTTCTTAGCAGCCATTTTCTAAACTGTAGACAATTTCTATTTCTGCCACATTTCTTCCTGACATTCATTTAATGTCCCTAGTTTCAGGCTGAAAATGCTGTCTTTATTCGGATTGGTAATTTCACTTATCAAGGTAGAGTTTTCCTATTGAAGCTTCTCAGATCTATTTCTCAGAAGTTCGACTTTGGCTGTATCTAGGTACATGTGATTTGCAGGTCACACCATCATTGCCTCCTGTTCTTTCTCTACTTGAGAAGGACTGAGATGATCTCTCTCTCCTTCAACTTTTTTCTCATTCCTTAACTTTTTTCTCCAGCTCTAACTCTGTTGTTATAACCTGACAGTAAGATGCTTATCTTGAAGGCCTGGAAAATTAGTGTTTTCTTCTAGTATAACTTAATTCTGTTGGCTTTTCTTAATGTGTCTGAATTGTTCCATGTAACCAGGAAACTTCTGATGATGTTACTAAGACACATATATTCCCCTGCCCAAGGTACTGGTTTTCTTGTTTACATTTCTCTATAATATGGTATACATTCATAACCTTGGGCACACTCTTCCTGTGTCTGATTAAGTTCAAGTACCCTTTCATGAGGTTTGACTTTCAGATTATCTAAATAGGCTTCCCATAAGGAGAAGCAGTTACACTGGAGGAGGTTTTTCTTTATCTTTTTGGTAACTGGCCTAAAAAGCAAATATTTTATATTTTATCAAGATAATTTCCTCTTGTCTTCATTTTTATTATTATGTAGAAAAACTGAGCTTTGAAAAAGTTGCTTTTTTTTTTTTTTTTTTTTACATTTATGAAACTTCCTGTGTTGCATTTGAAGTCTTTGGATTATCAGTCTGGTTAAATGAGTGGCTATTATTTCCCAGTGACCTGTTTTGATCAAGTATTTTGAACTTTTTGACATCTTTGGCAGGCTTCTCCAGGATCAACATTCTAAATTAAATCTTTTTGACCTAGAATTAACTTCAGGATTTTCCATGTGGGCCGCTGGAGAGCCTCAAAAGATGTATCTTTCATCTTGTAGAGACATGAAGTGACTAGGCTTGCTTAGTAAATTGTATGGGAAGTATTGTCAAATGATAAGTGATGCTAGGTTTTCTTTCAGTTACATTAATGGGCATGTTATTGATATGAATGGCCCCAAAATGTATAAAACTCTTAGAAATCTAATATCTTCTTGGCCATAATTCTGGTTATTATATTATATGCCACAAAATAACCAAATTTCCTTGTCAATTGCTGATTATAATGAACCAAAGTCAGATTTTTAATCATGGCTATCGTTAAGTCTCTGTCATTCACAATTATTGTTTTGATTTTTCTCCAAAAGCATTTGCAATTAGTTTCATGAAAAATACTCTAACAAGTACTCTTAAATACAGATTTCTAATAACTGTAAGATCAATGGACTACATAAAAAATTTTCAAAACGCTAATGAAGAAACTGATGGGTTCATAAAACCGATAATCAAGCAAGACAAAAATTAATTACATAAGATTAAGTAACTGATGAAGATGTTTTTATGTTTATTTGAAACATTATTGGTTCTTCAATGTTTTATTTTCCAGATTTGAGGAACTTTTTTTTCTTAAGTTATCCATAGTTTACAGAAATTTGGTAAAGTATACTTGTGTGAACAAAGATGGAAGTATTTGCTTTTCTACCTACTTGATGCCTCCAAAATGTGGGAACAATTCATGGTTATTTGCATAAATTCAGTAAAAATCTGCTTTCTATAACTGTATACAATGAAAACACTGGTTATATTACCAAGGCTTTGACTGATATAGATTGGAGAATGTGCACAGAATGCCTGACTTCAAGGGTTCTCAGCCTTACAGTGAATAAAAACTCACTTCCTGGCAGGCTCAGGAGCCTTAGGACTCTAGGTAACATCTAAAGTCTTCCTTAGTTTGGCTTCCTCAAGAGGTTTTTAAATTTGAGGTTCCTGTGTGATCAACATAGGCAGAAAAAGTTATGTTTATAAAGAAAAGGCTATAATACATCTGCTATTAGATTGTAGCTCTGTGCACTGTTTTCAGGTTCTTATTTACCTATAGAGTAGACTAGATCCTGAATTATATTCCTCTAATCCAACTTTCTTCCATGGAATTACTAAGAACAGGAACTGCTCTGTTCCTAAATTTCTATAAGCTGAAATGATACATTTTAAGGAACAAGTCTTGTGCCTGATGTATGGGCCACACAAAAAGTTCACCAAACTGCCTAATGCCATAACCAGAGACGTTCAGACTGCAAACAGGATAAGAAATTGACATTTTCATGCTGTAGACAGCTTTTCCCAAGATATTGGCACAAGACTCTATATCATAACAAGACCCTGACCTCCCGTACTGCTACCTTTTTCACTTGGCAGGATAATGGTGTAATTTAAATTTCTTAATCAGTAGCTTCTGCTAGTAACTAGACAGAAACTAATCATCTAAAAGATTCCTTAGCCCACTTATTGGGTGACTTTGGCAATATCCTTAATACAATTAGTGCTCACCTTTTGCTTTAATTCAACCCAGTCATGGGATACTAGATGATGAATAGCTTTATATTATTTATTGGCTAAATAAGAAAATGTCTGTGCTATTGCAAATATTACGTGCTGTACCCGGTAAATCCCTCTGGGAAAGTTGAAACCCATATAAGCAAAATAAAAACATAGCCACATGGTTACAACAGGTCTTACCTAATTCCCTATGGTCATTTCCTTCATTCAATTGGTTGCTTTTAAGCCTAGATTCACAGCTCAAAACCAATATGCAAACTGGGATTTTCATATTACTATTATTTCCTTTTTAAAGTTTGCACTATTACTTGTTAAATTTTTGCAGAAGTAGAACTCCTAACAGAACAATGCTGGCCCAGCACTTTGAGACAACAGCAAACGACTATGGAACAGAAAAAACTGAACTTAATAATGGACTCCAGGTAGACTTAGCCTGAGATCCACTCCCTGCAAACCTCCCTTGTTGCTCAAATGTGGATAATAGGGTTTTGACACTGACTCCTAGCCACCATTCACTTCCTCTAACATAGGACCAGATCAGCAACCCAGGGCAGGCCCATCCTGGCACCAGGGGATATCAACACCTGAATACAGGATGGTTGGTCAGTGATGCTTTTGGAGAAATATCTTGATCAAAAGGGGGAAATGTGAAACTTGTCAGAAACATAATGGAGTCACTTGTGTTAATAAAACTCTGACAAATAGAGCCAGAGAAGGCTGTGAAGAAAGGTTTCTCATGCATAAATGCCCAATAACAAAAACTATCACAAAAGACTGCAAAAACCACAACGTTGTACAAAGGCCATTGCAACCTTACACACAAAAAATACTTCTGTGAGAGTATCTGCCCAGCAAATGCCTGTTCAACCTCAGACTGGCATCATGCTTGCTATCGATCCTTGTAGCCAAGGATAATTATCTCAAAATAACTCATAATCCTTCTTTAAAAACATCCTCCTTCCTTTACCTCCCTGAATATGCAGGTAGTTCATATGCAATGAGAACACTGTGGCACGTGTATTCACATTGCAATTCCTGAATATCATTTCCTTTTAGAAACCTTATCTCTGTTTACTATCTAGGTTGACAACAAGTTTGGTTTCAGTAAAGTGCTAGGGACAAAGACCTGTCTCAGAAAGTAAAGTCATTAGAGAAATAGAGTAGGTTGCTGGGTAGTTGAGGGTTAACTTGATATCTGAGGTTATAAATTTAAACATCTGTCAGAGGAGTTGTGTGTTTTTCATGAGCCATATTGAGCACTCAGGTACAGGCAAAACAGAGAGAGGTGTCTTTATCCAGAGTTTGTGTTCTGTCCTGCCAGCATGAGAGAGGCAGTTGCAGATGTATGGATTGATGAACCAAGCAATGTAAGTTGGATAATGAGAAGAGTGAGGAAATGAGGAGAGTATTTGACTGTCAAAAAGTAGCAAAGCAATGCATTGGAGGTATCATATGTATACATAAATTACCCCAGTCTCCTCTGGGAGATTTCCACACTGGCTTGATGTTCTCTAATTCATCAAGAAGTAAGCATAACAAGACTGGGTAATTATTTCTTAAATTTTATTCTTATTTGAGTTTAAAACAATTCGAAGATGGCAGAACCCCATTATAAATGGGTACATTATACCACAGATATAAGGCAAGGAAGCCCAGTTACTGAAAGATTTTTTTGAATGGCCTTTATTTGGCTACATCATTGATAGTTTATGGTGTGGAATTTTTGGACATCTCCCAGAAGATATATTACCATAAGTTTCCATTTTATCAGGTTCTAAGAAATTTTATTTTTGAAAGAAAAAAAATGGGGAAGAAAGAAAAATGTTTTTAAAAGTGTTATCTGTGTATAAATAAAGTGGCTGATAAATTAGTGAAAAGGAAGAAGTTTGGAAAGCAGAAGTTTTTATGTTGTATAAAAAGATAGTGAATTAACACTACTTAAGACTAATACTAGATGACTGTTGTGGGTAAATGAGTCATTTTATCTGTTGCTTACTTATGTGAAGGCTTTCAAAAGGTCAGTCATAATTTAAAGGAATCTACATCCCTTTTATAATCAGTGAATTGGTAACTAATTTTTTTTTTCTTCTATTACATGCCTTTTAGGCATTTGGTTGCTCTAACCAAGGTTGGGTAGCAAAAGAGAAAGGAGACAGAACGCTGTCAGTCATTATATTTATTTAACAGCATTTATGGCAAATGGCCAGACCTGGGCAGGGTGGTAGCAATGATAGATTTTACAAATTAAGGCATTGTTCTTTATTTTAATATTTTCATTTACCTATATTTTCCTTGTCTTAGGACTATGAATAATTTCGAGCTGGCAATACTCAACATCAGGATATAATAAATGGAGATTTCTTTGTCTGAAATTGAAAAGATGTAGTAATACTCTATTGTACTTGTAAAAATTCTGTTTTTCCAGTTGGCTTCCTCTCGGTGAAGTAGTTAGGTAGTCCTGGTATATTTGGAGGGTCATAAACGTGTCATAGAAAGAGTACTGGCATTATGAAAACCTGGATGTTAGGGACTTCACAATTTGGTCATTTTGTAGTGGTACAATCTTAGAAATGCAAGTTCTCTGAATGTCGGTTTCCTCTGATGTAAAACAGACATAGGAACATCCATCTGACATATTTCACAGGTACTACTGTGAGTATTAAATGATATTGTGTGCTGGAATGTGTACTGGAATGTGTAATACAATAAAGTTGTTGATTAATGCTTTTCAAACGTAGCTTGCCCTGTATATTTTTAAAAAATCAAAATAGAAATCATTGGGAAACGTAAATGTTTATGAATCATATAGCCAAAATGTAAATAATTTACAAATGCTTTACAATAAAATCAAAGATATTATTCATGGATTTTTTTTAAGTAAAAAATCTTTACAGCTAAATATTCATCAACTTAAACTTATTCTTTCTTTTATAAGAATGTTCACTATGTGACATTACAACTCTCCAAAGGAGAAATTCTATAATTAGTTCAGTTCTCTGCCTTAAAAGTTTCATTATAAGGCAGAATGGAATAAAGTTTTAAAAATAAGCAAAAATATATAACTCTAAACCACAGTACCCTCATTTAAAAGAGCTTAACAAGAATACTTTTCCCAATATATTTATAAACAACCTAATATTTGTATAACACAAAGTTACAACTTAAATCATGATGATCGAAGTTAATGTGCATTTTGATACCCTTATCAGCTTAAATTATTAAATATCTAACGGTCTTGAGATTGAATTTTAAAAAATGAACTACACGTGCTTTAAAAATGGTTACCTATTCAATAACTAAGGTGTTGGTCAAGTGTTTAGAATATAGGCCAGAGTTTTAGAAAAAATATTTGAGAAATATAGTATATATGATAGGGTCCCATGTAGAAATAAGCCTGTACAAATGGATATGTTTAAGCATGAACAATAATTGAGGTAACCCACCAACTTCTTCTTTAAAAGGGTAAGTCATGGGCTTCTTTAAAAGAGCAAATGAATCACTTGCTCATTTTCAATCTCCTATCTTTATTATATTAAATAGTACCACTTTTTAAAATAAGAAATTATTAATTACAGTGTAGGTAACAAATTAGCTGGGCGTGGTGGCACATTCCTGTAATCCCAGCTACTCAGGAGGCTGAGGCAGGAGAATCACTTGAACCCAGGAGGCGGAAGTTGCAGTGAGCCAAGATCACACCACTGCATTCCAGCCTGGGTGACAGAGCAAGACTCTGCCTCAAAAAGAAAAGAAAAGAATATAGGTAACAAATAGTAAATTCTGGTCAGTAGCAAAATTTTTGGACCAAATGACAAAAACATGTCAATAAAATGTGTTTAAGAATAACTATATTGCTGATATTCCAACAGCACTATGACCTTTGCTATCAGCAATCCAAGATTTAGTTCTTCATCAAAAGTCTCTGTCTCTCTCCCACACACTCTCTCTCTCACACACACACACACACACACACACACACACAAAATTTCTCATACCATCTTGTCTCTACAAATGCATCTCAGGTTATCTTCTGTTTTTGAAGATTACATTTTTTAAAACACTTCAACATTTTTCCAACAAATCAATGATCAAAAAATAACCCACTGCTCTCATTAACAATCTCTCAAGATCACTCGATGTTTAAAGGTTAGCCTGACAAGAACTTGCAGAAATGAAATTGAATTGGCATCAGCACAGGGTAATTTTAGATGGAGGTAAAAGTGACTTTATCTTATGCTCAGCAAAACTATTTAGGTCAGTTTAAATATGAGCAATTGGTAAATTTATCCTCAGTTAGCATAGAGGTGGGCATTGTTAATACAATTCAAAGCTTGGCTGGGTACCCTTCGCTTTATAGTATGCCTGGGATACAGCACATCTGTGAGACAAGAAAGGCTAAACTAGAGCTCTGCTTCTTCTAATCCTGCATTACAAATTAAATAATACAGTACATTTCTGCTATGTTTGTGGTTTTTAAATTATTCACTATAAACATCCTATATTCTTTCCTAATTAATTTCAGAGCTAGAGCTTATATCTATGTCTATGTCAAATTATTTATTCTATGAAAAGCAGCACAAATACTCTTCATTCTGGTTTTGACACAAATTCCTTAAAAAAAAATTAAGGCCATTTAATTGAATCAGGGCCAACAGAAGATTACCCTGGCAAAAGTCAAACCACTGATTTAAGAGTTTTGAAAAAGAGCCATAAGTGGTTGTCGTGTATTTTCTTCATTGGTAACTTGAGAGCAGTTTGTAGAATTTATTAGTCTCCAACATCTCCATCTCGATCTCCAATAAGCCAAAGAAAATGAAAACTTAAGGCTAACAGAGCTGTCCCGAGCAGATCACCCAATGCTGTTAGGTAGGGGATAGAGAAACTATCCGGGTCCTTTCCTTTCCTCCAGAAGTGATGGACCATCCAGTCAGCAATCCACAGCAAGGTAAATACCTAGAAAAGAACACCAGAGATTACTCCTGCTGCCTGGACATTCCTAGCCCATGAAACATGGCCACAAGCCTAAACCACTGGCTTCTGGAAGGAACCGCATATGTCTAAGTCAAGAACCATGCTTGAAAAGAAGAAATACTTAGTTGACAAGAATATCTCCATTTCACAAGAAAAAAAAACAGCATGTATGTTTACAGGTACTAAAATTTTTCTTCAACTTTTCATATAGATCTCATTCTAGCCTAATAGCCATAATAATTTTGATATTTTAATAGCATTGTACTGTTTCCAAAAGACTTTTTCTATGTGATAAACCTGTGAAAAAGGACATTATGAAGAAGGAAATAAAAATTAAAATAAGGAATTATTTAACAGTCTCCTGCTGCAGGTATATCAAATAAAATGAAGATGGAAAACTGACCATTCATTTACTAACTATAACGCCATTTGTGACTTGTCAAGGAAAATTTCAGTTCAGTAGTAAGACCAATAACTAGAAGGTAAATGCATTTAGAAATGGCTCATCTATGTAGTTATAGATATAGACATAGATATATCCATAAAATGGAAATAGTTTAAAAGACTATTCAAACATGAAGGTGTTATATATAAATATTTTCCAGAATATCAGGAATATAAAGACTTTTGTGATGCTTTGAATTTTGGGACCAGATAAATGATTTTTTTCTTTGATCCACCTAGAGTAGGGAGACTTTCTAATTTTCAAATCCCTGAAGCAGTGAAAGAAATCTGGGACTAGAAAGGATAATGTTCACTGGTTTTGGACAAGTTGGCAAGTATAGCACGGTGGTTAAAAGCACTTCTTTACGGCCCTTCTCTATTGTCCACTAGCTGACTGTAGGCAAGTTACTCAACCTTACTGACTCTGTTTATCCAAATGAACATTAAAATGGTACCTACCTTGTAAGAATGTTGTGAGGATTAAATAATATACTAAATAATTCAGTGCCTGGCACACAATAAACTTTCAATAAATGTCTGTTATTAGTCTATTTTAACAGTTTTATTCTTATTACTACTTGTGGCCCCTCAAGTATTGGGAACACCTGGTATGTGCAGGAGGAAGCCAACCCCAGGTCTAGGGTCTAGGCCAACAGACCTTTCACTAACCTGGCAAGTAGGCCATGGGGGTGAGGCATTTGCCTGGGGACCTAAACTGCTGCGTGCTATCATTTTAGCTCTAACACCTTTACCAGGAAGGAGAGTGGCTTGTCCAAACGTAGGAAGACATGTACCTATTCCAAATGCATGAACTTTACATGCCTTTGGACATCTGTCAGAGAGAGGTTGTACTTTAAGCCCTATTGTCTTTTGCATGTGGTCAGTTCTTCATTAGTATTTCACCGGTAGAGACTGTTTGGAATCATATAAAGTTTTACCAGGACAATCTGCTTTGGGTATGGAGGAAGCATGAAATATTAGAAAGAATCCTGGACTTGGAAGTTATAAAATCTGGATTTGATTCTCAGTTCTGCCTTTGGGTAGGTTTCTTACCACTCTGAGCCTAGCTATTCTCATTTGAGGAAAATATGGGGCCTAATATTTGCCAAACTTACTTTGAAATAATAAAACTTTGGTTTAGGGGGATGAAAGGAAAGGCAAAAAGGCAGCATGATGTCAAGTTCCATCACTGAAAGCAAAATGCACAGACTGAGAGACAGAGAGTCATCCCATAGGACCCCCAGTGAGCCAGGCCACATCTAGACTCTGTTTTGGATGCCCTATTTTCAGAGAAACTGGTTCACATCTGCATCTTCAGTACCTAGCAAAGTGACTAACCTAAAAAGTAAACAACATCTGATTGATGGAATGCAAATCAGATGGAGACAGTGTCATATAGGAGATTCCTATGAGAATAAGAATTGTTTGTCTCGGGCAAGGTGGGTGGGAGAAGTGAACCTGAGACAAAGGTTATGTCAGGAGACACTAGGTTTCTAGTATGTTGCTTCAGAGAGTAGAGTGTTAGGTTAAAGAAAAAAAGACCAAAAGCAGAACTTAAAAAAAATTGGCTATCTATAAATAGAACAAGTTATATAGTAAACTCAAAATTACTGAAGTATATGGAGGTTTAATAACTACATTTGCTGATCGAATAAGTAATATATACAGGAGGAAACAATTGTTTTTAAAAGAATGAGGGTAGCTAATTTCTCTGGGATTAGCAAGAAAAATAAATGAATAAATTTATATTCTATATTATAATATTACATGTTTACATATTAACAATGTGTTAAATATATACTTATATACACAAATTTGTATATGATACATACATCATTTAGTAATTTCTTGTATAATATCTGCCCTGAATGATTTTTCTAGACTAAGGTTGGCAAACTACAGCCCATGGGCCAAATTCAATCTGCCACCTGTTTTGTAAATAAAGTTTTATTGGAACACAACCCATTTTATTGCCTATTTAGTTGATTTTTTATTCCTTGCCACATTCTCAGGAAGTAGGTAGGCTTACTATTCCTAATGTTCATTTGGAGAAATTGAGTCGGAGAGGTTAAGTGGCTATGTAGTTGTCACAGAGCGCATCTGTTCCACTAATCCTCTGACATATAAAACACTTGCTGGCAGATTGCAGGGTTGAAATGTGTTTTATCTGTTTTATATTTTAAAAGATTCTGCCAGAAAATAAAACCAACCTTCTTCAAACAAACAAACAAACAAAAAAACTAAGGCAAAGTCCAAGAAACCTGCCCATGATCACACAGCTTACAGGTGGAGTCTGGTTCAAACTCACCGAGTCCAACACTAAAGCCAGTGTTCTTAACCATCACTACAGTACCTTGTTTTAGTAAAAAAGAACTTTACATTATGAGAACATAAACGGTACAACTACTTGGGAGAACAATTTGGTAGTATCTATTAAATTTGAAGATGTGCATCTCCTTAATTCAGCATTCCTACATAGAAATAATGATTTTTTTTTTTTTTTCTGTGCCACTGGGGAAAAATAAAATTGTTCATGGTCAAAGGATACTAGCTCAGGGGCTCTGCTGACTCTAGGTCTCCCTGTTGCTACCCCAAGGACTGAGAAGACCAGTATCTTGGTGTACTTATGGAAACCATACAGAGAAATTCTTATAAAAGCATACTGAGAGATGTGCAAGAATATTCACTACATGTCTGTTTTAAGAGCAAAAAATTGTATCTGTTGACACGGAATGGCTAAATTCACTGTTAAGTCACACAACTGAACACTATGTAGAAGCTAAAATAAATGAAAAATGAACTATATAAATCAACACGAATATATCTCAAAAGCACAAGTTGAATGAAAAAAGTGGAAGACTATGCATATCATTTTAATAAAGTTTATAAGTATAAAACTATGTTATTTATAGATATATACATTTGTAGCAACAGTATAATAGTATAATGGCAAGAATAGATGCCAATTTAGAAGGCTGATAACTGTTAGGGAGGGATGAAATGAGCTCAAGAAGGGATACACGGGAGTTATCAACCATATATATGAGGCATTTTTATTTATTTTGAAATATTTGCTTCAGATCATTGATAAAGCTGAGTGGTAAATACATGGTTATCTTATTTCCTATTACTTCCTGTATGTTTATATTTCATAATTTAAAAAAATGTAAACAGTTGGGTTAATGGTAACTCACTGGCCAGGGCCACATGAGCTACAACTTAGAATATCTACTGAGAGGGACACATGAGAAAAGAAGTCAGTATGTCCTGTAGAATCCACAAAAGGTTTGGACTTGGAAGTACCAGATGGTGCTGAGGCTGAAAGCAAGGCTAAGGCCAGAAGATTACTTAAATGTCTGTGTGTAGAGCTAGCTCCATATTCACCATTTCTGCAAACTGTCCTCTCCATGTAGGAAAATAGAAGGATGTTTTCTGGAGAAACTGAGTGTTAGAGACTCAGGACTCAAAGACACTAGAAACTATGAGGTACTAGCTGAGAATCGGGGGTAACTGAGAGTCTGCATACCTAACCAGAGTATTCCTCCAGATTCATATTTTGTTCTGAGAAGAGTCAGGAAGAGAGGAGAGTAGATGCTCACCTTTGGAGGCCCCCAGTTAAATGTCCAGTCCCCATGTCCATTAATGGTAAAGCATCCAGTCAACAGCCCACCCCTACCTTCCATGTTACTTAACCTCTCCATGTCTCAGTCTCCTCCCTGTTCAAGACAGAGATGTGATGTGAATGTTAAATAATGCAGAATGGTTAGAACAGTGTTTGGCACATTGGAAGAACTTAAAAAAGATTTGCTATGATTTTTAAAAACAGGTTATGAAGAAATAAGAATCTGATTTTTTTCAACAGCAACACTGGGAGACAAGGAGTAACATCTTCAAAATCCTGAGAGGGAAATATTTCCTGTCTATACATCTGTGCCCAATTTATCAATCAAGTGTTGAGAGTAAATGAAAGGCCTTTTAAGACATGCATGTACTTAGAAAATATTTCTCCCATGTTCTCTTTCTTTGGAACTTTCTAGAAAATGTGTTGAAGCAAAATGAGGGCTTGAATCGAGAGAAAAATGGAATTCAGAAAATGGAAGAGGCAACATAAGAGAGCAGTGAGAGAAGGTTCCAGGATGACAGCTGTGCAGTGGCCCAGGGCACCAAAGCCAGAGCAGGAGAGTGGACTGCTCTGGATACTAGGTCTCCATGATAAAGGCAAGTGGGCAAATTATCTGATATAATAAACTTTTGAGGGGCAAAACACTAATTTAGGCATGTGATAGCTGTTGATGGAGCACTTGCAAAAAAAAAATTAAGAAATTTAAAAATTCAGGCTAGTCATGGTGGCTCACGCCTGTAATCCCAGCACTTTGGGAGGCCAAGGCAGGTGGATAACCTGAGGTCAGGAGTTTGCGACCAGCCTGGCCAACATAGTGAAATCCCATCTGTACCAAAAATACAAAAATTAGCCAGGTGCGGTGGCACACGCCTGTAATCCCAGCTACTTGGGAGGCTGAGGCAGGAGAATCACTTGA